TGAAGCACTCCCCACAGTAAATGATGAGTGACACTTTCATCAATTTGATTCCTTCAGTAGTCACCAAGGGTATAGGGACTCTAATTTTTTAATCTTTCACGTTTCAAATATCGCAAATACCAACCAGCATGGAAAGATCACATCTCTTATGTGTAATACGTTTCTCTACAGGTTATAGCCAGAAAATTTAATTAAAAATTTTTATTTTTTAGCCTACCCTCTTGGTCTGTTTTACAAACATATACATTCCACCATAGAAAAAGTGAGATAAATAAATGGCTAGCTTGGAGAATCAAATATTGGTAGCTTTCACTACATAATGATGCATGTCAGTGAACCATGACAAAATAAAATGACCTATTAAGTTAATTAGTGTGGAATCTTTCTGAGTTATTAGTATGTCCCTCTTTGTTAAATTCAGATTGTTTTCAGCATTTAATCGAACTCATTTCACATTTCTAGTGCTTCTTTGTTTTCCTTTGGATGGAGTGTGTGTGTGTGTGTGTGTGTGTGTGTGTGTGTGTGTGTTTTCAGAGAATTAAACAGAACTATGAATCAGGATTAATAATAATAATAATAATCTTTACAAACAGAGTAATCGAGATTTTTGTACCAACATCTTGTCTTAGACTAGTATAGCATTGGGACTGCTTAGAAACTTGTTAGAATTCAGAGCCTAAAAAATAAAACAATACAGAACCTCGGGCTTCGATCTAGATCTAGTGTCCCAGAATCCATATTCTAGCGTGAGTCTCATCCAATTGGCATCCATCCCCCTGAAACAGGGAGAAGCCCTGCTCTCGAGTCTATTGATGGGCACTTGGACTTTGAGGACGTTCCTGGTGCCTGCAGGACGGTGAGAGGGAGAAAGGCCAGAGAAGGCCCTTGCAGTGGGTTGTGGTTCCGTCCGTCCGTTTGCTTTCCTCCTGTCAAAAGCATCTGACACCTGCTGATCTCCAGCCCCCATTCCAGTGGCTCACTAATGCAGGCGGTTCTCACTGGGGGCCTCGGGAGCTTTTAGTTAGGGAAGCACGGTGAGAAGGGCCCAGTCTCCTCTCCTGGTGAACAGTGTGAGCTAGCTGTGTGGCTTCCCCCGAACACAGGCTCACACACACAAACTGATGATTCTTACCAGACTACGCGGTCAGTGCTGTCCCGGGAGAGTGAAATTGTCACTCTCTGATTTGTGTTCTCCGTCTTAAGGAATCTCAAGCCTTTGCTTGAGGTGAGTGGATAAAGTTAGAAGCTTTAATCCAAGAGATTTTTTTTTAATTGTTTGGCTTTTTTCTTTGCGCCATATTTTAAAACATTAAAGTCTTTATACAACTTACTGTGGTTGAGCAAACTTTTGCCATCCAATCATGATTGGTGGTAAAGCAAGTCCTGGGGACAGAACTGTAACTGCACACAGATGCTAATAGATTAGAACGCTTGCCAGAAGTGGTTCTGGGTCCCTCCACCAGTAGAGCTTGGATACACCTCATAGCCATGTGGCCCAGATAACCCTACTTTCTGCTAAGAAAAGGCCCCACCAGTCCCAAAGTGTGAGCCTGCCCCTCCCTGGGCTAGTTAGGGGAGTCCTGGCAATCCACTTTTCAACATCCTTTGCTTAAGACTAAAGCTTTTTGTGTTGTTGATTAATATCCAGGAAGAACTCGATAGAGATAGGATTTCCATCAAGACTGAAAATGGATTTATGACTCCCACAGTAAACCCTAGCCTCCCGCAAACCAAGTGCAACATGCCAACTCTACAACCCATCCCTGGGAGCTTCCACTTGCCCCATGTGTAATCACCCGCCCTTGCTCCACCATTTCTCCTCTTTTAATATTTTAGATACATTGTTCCTCTTGAACTCCTTTGCCATAAGAGTGTGCCTATTAGTTTTCAAATGCCTTCCAATCAAACTTAATTAATCTTTAATGAGTTTGCTGCTCAAGTTATTTAGAGTTGAACCTTAACTGACATTTCATATTCTGAGCCTGTAGCTCTAGACGGCTCATTTCAAAGTTCATCAAAATGCATAGAGGTTCCTCTTGTGCATGCAGAGAAATCTCAAAATGCCATGGCTGCCCAACTTATATACAACCCTGTCTCAGTGACCGAGTGCTGCTGGACCAGGAATGCCACAGGTGGGTAGCTTGAACAAACGGCAGTGTATTTTCTGACAATCAGGAGGCCATGGTGGCAAACTGAGGAAGGTACTAAAAGTCAACTCATGTTTGAGAAGATACTCCCATTCACAAATAATCGCATTGCCTTGTTTTACTCATTTTCTATAACTGACTAGGACAAATCTGTCTATTTGCATGTGAGTGAAGCAAAACAAAGGTCAGGGGTTGGCAAACATTCCCTGCCAAGGGCCAGGAGAGTGCTTGTTGGAGGCTTTGCAGGCCACATGGCCTGGGGGCCTCTCCTCAATGGTAGCTTTAATAAGAGCGTGAGTACAGGGACAGGAGTTCTGGTGGCCCAGCCTCAAAGACACTCAGCTGTCAGCCATAGGAGTAGCAAGCCACCCCATGGAAGTAGGTTGGGGTCCTTTTTCAGCCTCAGAAAAGTAACAGAGAACTCAAATGGCATCTGCACTTATGTGAAGACTCAAAACAGAATTAGGGTTCTCATTCTAAATAGCAGCCTTCTACAAACCAAGTGCTTTCTAATGGATGTGCTAATGCCTATATTACCTTCCCAGGTAACTTCCTGAAATAAGAATGTGAATGCACTGTATTCTAAGACACCCCTCATTGTAAGCTACACCCCACATTGTAAGCTTTCCATACCAACTCTTATTCTCAGGAGGGTGGGAATTGGAATTCCTTAAAGATGTATCAAAGCGAAGAGGGCATTTCCGGAAATAAGATTATATACCATTAAGTGCAGTTCCTGAGTAGATGAATTCTTTCTCACTTAGCTGGGAAGTCAGCTTAATCCATTCAGGGAAAGGGAGCATGGGGTGAGTAGAGGGTAGAAAGCAAAGGAAAAAGGAAAAGAAGAAAAAGGGCCCTTTCATAGGAAACAGAAGGACTTAGTTGCTGTCTGACACTAAAGCAGCTCCAGTAATAAAATATTCCGTTATATTAGTGTGTTTGTATTTTCTATACTTGTACTTCTGTCTTTTCCTTCACTTTATGTCGCTTTTTAGAAGTCCTTTAAGTGTAATTCAGCTTCTCTACTCTTCCCGCAGGCATCTTTGGAATGATGACCTCATAAGAAATATCCATTAGAAATAAGTCAACAGCCTTTAGCCAACTAAGCAGATAAGAGCTCATTAAAAAATTATATCATCTCATTCCAACTGAACAGAATTTCAGCTTAAAATTATCTCTTTTTTTTCTTAAATTTGTCTTTTAAATGCTCCCAAATATCATATGGAAGGTATCCTGGTGGTGCTGTGAGATAAGTATTGGGAAGCTCACTCCAAGGTCATCGGTTCAAACACACCAGCTACTCTAAAGGGGAACAATGAAGCTGACTGTTCCAGTAACGGTTTGCCCTCTCAGAAACCCTAAGAAGCAATTCTTCTATATCCTATAGGGTTTTGATCATCAGAACCAACTAAATGGCTGTGTTTCAGTATTGTATTATAGATCAAACAGCAGCAACAACCCACCCCCAACACACACACACACACACACACACACACACACACACACACACACACACTCACACTGCCATCAAGTGTTTCAAACTCATAGTGACCCTATGGGACAAGTTAGAACTGCCTCTGTGAGTTTCTGAGACTGTCACCCTTTACAAGAGTAGAAAGTCCTGTCCCGCCTACCCCCTCCAAAAAAAGTGGCTGGTGGTTTTGAACTGCTGGTCTTGTGGTTTCAACCTCATCAGCCCACTTTGCCTTGTGAGCAATGCAGCCTCTGCTGAGGATCTCACACCAAGTTGCAATTTATAAAGGGAAAGGCACCACAACCAAATTGTGGACTGTAAAGGGAACATTCTGTTTGCAAAATGAGGATGGTGCCAGTATATAGCCATTCATGCTAATTCTCTGCCATTAATGTGTCTTATCCACATGTGCCAATTTCTGTCCATCTTGCTACCAAATGATTTCTGCAGAGTCCCAGGAGAAGACTGATTGGCTGTCTGCCCGGACTGAATTGGTTGTTTCTTTTAGACCAGATCCAGGTTGCAGCAGTTCAACGAGGTGCTCGGATAGGCCTGCCTCGGAACTGTAAGCCCGAAAGCTCGAGTAGGAAGAATAGCTGAGCATGGCAAGCAGCTCGTATACGCGATACAGCAACTCACTGCCGTCGAGTTAAGGGATTAATAACCAAGCTCATCAGGGAGCTGTTCCGTTGCAGCGCTCATGGAAGATTTCTAGAGCAGATGACATTTAAACTGGATCATAGAGGTTGGGTTGAGCTTCGATAATAAAAACCACATAGGAGCGTATTCTAGCTCATGGAACAACTGAGCCAAGTTGTCTAGGTTTATGTATTGATGGCTTGATCAGCCCGACTCATTGATTCTGAATTAACTGCTTAGAATTAGTAAGACCTGGGTTCCTACCTAAACTTACTTAAAAAGGTGTCTCTGGAGTTTATGGTCAGAATATAAAAAGGCCGCCAGGTGATTCTGATGCAAAGATAGAATCAAGAGCCATTGGACAGCTTGAGCGTACTGTACAGTGGGTTATGGTTTTATGAAATATATTTGGAAATGTGTGTGAGGAAATCACTTGGAGACTTTCTGTAGCAGTCAGCGAAATCTTAACTGTCTTTTAAGTAAGGTTGAGCCACCAGGGTTTACTGTTTCAGACTAGGGTCGCTGTTGTCATAGCCTGTGACTGTCAGAGCTCTTTGGGGACAGTAAACAGAGAGAGGTGTGGGAAGAAAAGTGGCCAGGTGGGTTGTGTGCTTGGTGTCTTGTTAAGAATATTCTTTACCCAGGACGCTCCTCTGTCGGAGTGAATGCCTAATTCCAGGCGCTATATTCTAAGCAGAATGTGTTGACCTTTTTGTAACCAGGCTTTCTTCTCTCTTCAGGGGCGTTGGCTGCATCTTTGTTGAAATGATCCAAGGGGTTGCTGCTTTTCCAGGAATGAAAGACATCCAAGACCAACTTGAAAGGATATTTCTGGTAAAGTCTTATAATTCGTCCTTTTGAGGGAAATTGGCTTATAATTAGTCACCTAATGACAAACTCTACAGTGGTTAGTAGAAAACAACGTAAGGCAGATTTTTTTTTTTTTAACATTTTATTAGGGGCTCATACAACTGTTATCCCAATCCATACACACATCAATTGTGTAAAGCGCATTTGTACATCGTTTCTCAAAACATTTTCTCTCCATTTAAACCCCCGACATTAGGTCCTCATTTTTCCCCTCCCTCCCCGCTCCCCCCTCCCGCATGAGCCCTTGATAGTTTATAAATTGGTATTTTGTCATATCTTGCCCTGTCCGACGTCTCCCTTCACCCACTTTTCGGTTGTCTGTCTCCCAGGGAGGAGGTCACACACAGTTCCATGTAATCGGTTCCCTCTTTCCTACCCATTCTCCCTTTACCCTCCCTGTTTTGCCACTCACACCACTGGTCCTATAGGGCTCATCCATCCTGGATTCCCTGCATTTTCAGTTCCTATCTATACCAGTGTACCTCCTCTTGTCTAGCCAGACTTGCTAGATCGAATTCGAGTCATGGTAGTGGGAGCGGGGAGGAAACCTTTAGGAACTAGAGGAAAGTTGTATTTCTCATCATTGTTACATCGCACCCTGACTGGCTCATCTCCTCCCCGAGACCCCTCTGCAAGGGGATCTCCAGTGGCCTACTAATGGGCTTTGGATCTCTACTCCGCACTCCCCCCATCATTCACTATGGTAAGATTTTTTGTTCTGATGATGGTAAGGCAGATTTTTGTTGTCGCATTTTTTCCCAACAGTTTTGGACCTTTGAAAAGCAAATGAAAATTTTGAAATTAGATAAAATGATGTTTTCAAACCATTGTACGTGAATTAGTCATAAGAAAGGGTAGCATGTGTGACGCAGTCTGGAGTAACGGGTTATACACGAAGGCTGCGACTGAAGGACTCAAGGTGATGTATGTAGCTAACCCCACTTTCAGCAGAGCGCGACCTCCTCCCACTGCCTTCTCTTCGCCATTCGAGTGTGGGCTACACTTGGTAACTTTCCTCCAGAAGTAGAGTATGGAGGTGGTGAGGAGGTTATATATTGGAGCATCCTGGAAAGCATTACTTTAACCAGGTTATTCAGGTGAACATCATCAATGATGTTATTTTGATAACGTTTATTCTTGATATCTGATATGATAAGAATGACACTTCTGTGTTTTCCCTCTCAAAAACCCTCAGTATAATCATGAGCCAGACAAACCCACATTAAGAGACATTCTACACAATCCCAGACCAGGACCCCTCAAAACACTGTCATCAAACACAATCTAAGTTTGGGGAACTATCACCACCCAGAGGAAGCTAAGGGCATTGAAATGCAATGTGATACTTGGCCTGGGATCCTGGGGCAGAAAAGAATGTGTAGGGAAAACAGTGAAACCCGAGTAAGTGTGGAGTTTAATAATAATAAAATCATATCAGTTCCTGGTGATGCGCTCAGATTAAATTTGGATTGCAAAGTCTGCAGTTCAGACCCACTAGCTGCTCGTTAGGAGAAAGATGAGGCTACCGTCTCCTGTCAAGATTTACAGCTTCAGAGAGATTACATAGGGTTGTTATGAGTTGGCATTGACGAGGCGATTCCTAACATTGGTTCCTTGGTTGTGACACATCCACACAGTACAGTGCCATATATATTCGTGTATAACCCGAGTTTTTCAGCACATTTTTTTAAATCATTTTATTGAGACCCGTACAACTTTTATCACAATCCATACATACATCCATTGTATGCACATAAGTATATTTGTTGCCCTCATCATTCCCAAAACATTTGCTTTCTACTTGAGCCCTTGGTATCAGCTCCTCAAATTTTCCCCTCCCTCCCCGCTTCCCCCTCCCTCATGAACCCCTGACAATTTATAAATTAATATTATTTTGTTATATCTTATACTGTCCAATGTCTCCCTTCACCCTTTTTTCTGTTGTCCATCCCCCACGGAGGAGGTTATATGTAGATCCTTATAATCGTTTCCCCCTTTCTACCCTACCTTTCCTCCCCCCTCTTGGCATTGCCACTCTCACCACTGGTCCTGAAGGGATCATCTATCCTGTATCCCCTGTGTTTCCAATACCTATCTGTACCAGTGTACATCCTCTGGTCTAGCCAGATTTGTAAGGTAGAATTGGGATCATGAAGTAGAATTTGGAACTAGAGGAAAGTGGTATGTTTCATCGTTGCTACACTGCACCATGACTGGCTGGTCTTCTCCCCATGACCCTTCTGTAAGGGGATGTCCAGTTGCCTACAGATGGGCTTTAGGACCCCAATCTACACTCTCCCTCTTTCACAATGATACGATTTGTTATTCTTTGATGCCTGATACTTGATCCCTTCAACACCTCGTGGTCACACAGGCTGCTGTGCTTCTTCCATGGGGGCTTGCTTGCTTCTGAGCTAGATGGCCCCTTATTTACCTTCAAGCCATTAAGACCCCAGATGCTATATCCTTTGATAGCTGAGCACCATCAGGTTTCTTCACCACATTTGCTTATGCACCCATTGTCTTCAGTGATCATGTCAGGAAGGTGAGCATCATGGAATGCCAATTTAGTAGAACAAAGTGTTCTTGCATCGAGGGAGTACTTGAGCGGAGGCCCAATGTCCATCTGCTATCTTAATACTAAACCTATAAAGATAGGCACATAGATCTATTTCCCCATCATCGTATATAAATTTATTTATGCCTGTATTTAGACCTCTATAAATGCCCTTTCCCTCCTAGTTCTTTCCTCTATTTCCTTTTATTTCCTTTTGTCCTACTATCATGCTCAGCCTTCATTTGGGTTTCAGTAATTTCTCTCAGTTATATTGCCCTTGATCAATTCCTACCAGGCCTCTTACACCATCCTTGCCACTGATTTTGGATCACTTGTTCTTCCCTTGTCCCTGGGTTGGTCAACACCACCTCCTTTCCCCACCTCCCCCTTTCCCATATCCCTCCAGAACCATTGTTGCCGTTGTTTTCTCCTCCAGACTGTTCATCCAGACTATCCTATCTAGATAGACCTGCAGAGACAATACACACACACACACACACACACACACACACACAAGCATGACATAGCAAAACAAAACAATGACAACAAAAAAAACAATGACCCCGCAAAATTAATTTATTAATTAAGTTTTTAAAATTTTAAATAAAATAAAAAGAAAGAAAAACCTGTAAATAGTTCAAGGTCTGTTTATTGACCTCTAGGAGTGTCCCCCAGTTGAGTCCGATGGGGTGCCACACCCTGGCCACAAAGTCTATCCTTGGTACTCCCTCAGGACCTCCCTGCTCTGCTCCCCCTGCAGCTTTGCAACACACCCTTAGTGTTTTGCCTCGGTGTGGTGGGGTCATACTGGGCCAATCTCAAAACTGAATCTCTGGTGTTGTCCCCCATAAAGCCATGGGTTAGCGAGAGACATCAATCAGCACATTTTTAATGCAGTTTTTGTGGTATAATTAGGTACATCGGCTGATATTCGGGTCGGCTTGTACTCGAGAATATGCAGTAATATACTCATAGGAGGAAGTGGGTGATGGGTTTACAAGAACTATCTAGACTTTTTGTAAATTTCTACCTAGTGGTTTATTTATTTATTTTAAACTATTCTAAAAGTTCAGGAGAAAGACGAGACTTTCTTCTCCGGTAAAGAGCCATGGCCTTGGGAAACCCACAGGAGCAGTTCTGCTTTGCCCTGGAGAGTCACTATGAGTTAGAATCTACTTGATGGCATTGCTTTTATTCTAAAAGCAAATGCTTGTTTAATTTTTAAAATATAAATCTGAAAATATATAGTTTACCAGTGTCAGACTTTAGGGGATTAGAATCCTACTTTGTTACTTTTTAAACTTTGTGACGTTGGGCAAGAGCTTTATCTGTGTGAACCTTGGTTTTCCACAGGAAATAATAGCATGTACCTCATAAATAACTTTGAGAAATAAATTACTTAAGACCCTAATCTTTTTAGAACTCTTCCTGCCATTCTATAAATAATCTATAAAGTTATTATAATTGTTATTAAATTATTTGGTGTAGGGTACTTTTATTCAATGGAATTTCCACATTAGCTCATCTTCATATAAATTATTTCTTTAGGCATAGTATTAGGTAAGTAAAGGTGTTTGTTATTAAGATTCAAATTACATGCATCCTAGCAGCTACATACATTACATCCACTCCTTAGTTGTCAGCATACTGAAGTTCTAAAGATCCCTGGTGAAAATCAGCATTATGTGGAAATGGAGACTCATCACATCGGATTGCAAAATAGAGGCTGACTGCATCATTGCACAACTGCCAGATCACACCACTATGTAACCAAACCAATGACAATAATGATTCAGCCAACCTAGCACATAATCTTAATGATCACAGCCAGCGTTGCTCTCATCCTCTCACAGCACATTTGTTACTGCCAGATGTACAACATTAATGCACAAAATAGTCAAAGAGTAGATTGTTCCCATTGTCATAAGTGCAGAGTGTCAGACAGTGAGATGGTTGGCTGTAAGGTCCAGTCTCAAGACTGAGAGAGTCCTAAGGAGTGGGTGTGCACTTGAGAGAAAACAACGAGACAGAGAAAGCATGCAACCGGCTTCTATAGTCCTGGGGCTAGCAAGCCCTGGGAAGCACAGCTGTAATATGGTGGGCAGGTACTAGAGGCACATCTGTAACAAGATGGGCAGGTGCTAGAGTTAAGATGGAGACAACTTTGGAAGCACCTAAGCTGGCTCAGCCGTGGGGTCCCTGAGCTCTCTCCAGGGGAGCAGGCTGTGAATCAGTGTCAGAAGGGAGTTGTCCGGACCTAGGATGGGACGGACAGTGGAACCTGACTACTCAGAGATAGGTAGCCTCTAACCACATAGCAAGCAGCCATGTGCTGTAAGAAGCATCTTAAAAGTAGCACGATTTTGGTGGGGGGGTGGGGGAGATGGTATTGTGGGGGAAATTTTTA